ACCTGGACAACAGAGCGAGACTCAAAAAATTAAAAATAAATAAAGTCTCAAAACATTAAAAATAAATAAATAAATAAATCAGTAAAATATTTTCCATTACCGCCACATCCTTCATACCTTCAGCAACAGAGGTCCTCATAGAATAAAGCCTTCAGCAATGAATCATGAAAAGTCACTCTGCTGCCAGATCTGATCATCTATTTCTCTTGAATCACTAAATAAAAGCTAACCAGGCAAATTATCTTTATCCCGAGAATGGTAGGACGATGCATCATAAATGTCATCTCACTGCTAAAGAAGAAGAGAAAAATGAATGGTGCCATGGGCAGAAAGACAAGATAAAGGAAAGTCTTGTCCTGGTCTTGAATAAGCAGATCTTTTACTATGGCAGGTTACAAATAGCCATTTTGGTGGAAAATAATACATACACAGAGAGAGAGAGAGAAGATAGTATGATATATAATTAAGTGTTGAGCTAAGCTTTGGGGGTACTAGAACAAAGAATCATCAAAATCAGCTCATGGGAAGTTCTAGCACATCTTTAACTCATGTGTCTGCATGAAACATCATCTCTACTTTCAAGAATCAATTCCTTGGCATTTGTGTACTCATCTGATTTAGTGTGATCTAAAAGGATAAACACAAAAAGTTTCAATAAAATTTGAATTCCTGTTTTGGTTCTTCAAAGGTAAGGGTTTTTTGTTTTGTTTTTAATTGATTCTGAGTATAGGTTTTGTTGGGATTAGAAACAGGTGACATACAGCCGAGCCCGGTGGCTCATGCCTGTAATCCCAGCACTTTGGGAGGCCAAGGCTGGTTGGATCACGAGGTCTAGGAGCTCGAGACCAGCCTGACCAATATGGTGACACCCCGTCTCTACTAAAAACACAAAAATTAGCCAAGCATGGTGGCTCGCCCCTGTAGTCCCAGCTACTCGGGAGGCTGAGGCAGAAGAATCGCTTGAACCCAGGAAGCAGAGGTTACAGTGAGCCGAGATGGTGCCAGCTTGGGTGACAGAGCGAGACTATGCCTCAAAGAAAAAAAAAAAAGGAAACAGGTGGCATATGAATATTTGGTATTGCCACAGGGAGTTTGCGTATCAACAGATAAAAAGAATTTTCCAATCACACAAATCATATATTGCAATCACATGAAAAATGACTTTTTCAGTTTCTCTTAGTGAGAAACACTTTTCAAAAGTCCTAAGAATTAGAGAACCTCAAGGCCAACACACCTCTTCAATAACCCATTGTGTGGTGATTATTCCACAAAATGGTTTGGGATATACATAAACGTATGTTTATTTTCCTAAGAGCCACATTAAATAGTTTAACCAATCAGGTTTCAAACCTCTGCTATAAATTAAGAATCAATAAATTCTTGAATTGGTTAAATTTTTCCGATTTTGGAAAATGAAATTGGGTATTTATTTCTGCCACATCTGCCATCAGCAAGAAGGGCACAAAATAAAATAAACATTGGCACCAAAAAAAGCTTACTTCTTCCCCATATTTTCTATTGGAAAAATAAGATTTGTTTTCCAGTAAGATATTTCACTTTTTACAAAAAATCTGCTTCTACTCAAGGCTGGGGTTCTATTTATTTTTAACTGAGGCCCATGAAACCTCCCAAGTGCAACTCAGATTTACATCTGGCTAATCCTCCAAATATGACCAGCCAAATTCACACTGTTTATTTCATTTTTCTCTTTTTTGAGATGGAGTCTCGCTCTGTTCCAGGCTGGAGTGCAGTGGCGTGATCTCGGCTCGCTGCAACCTCCGCCTCTTGGGTTCAAGCAATTCTCTGCCTCAGCCTCCCAAGCAGCTGGGATTACAGGTGCCTGCCACCACGCCCGGCTAATTTTTGTATTTTTAGTAGATACAGGGATTCACCATCTTGGCCAGGCTAGTCTTGAACTCCTGACCTCATGATCCACCCGCCTCGCCACCCAAAGTGCTGGGATTACAGGCATGAGCCACCATGCCTGTCCCATGCTGTTTATTTCTAATGAGTTCTGTGATTTTGGGATAACACATGTGAAAGATAGCAAATTAACGACTGCTAGTCAGCAGCATGCAAGCAAAAACCGTCTTGGGAAGCGAGTGTGAGCAAATCCTGCAAGTCAATTTCTAATCACACTTGCCAGAAACTTGGGACGGAAAGGTGATAAACCCTGCCAAGAAAATCAGTAGTAGGACTTGTTTCCCTTTCCTTTTTCCATGGACTATTTCAACACTCAACCAACAAATACAGCCCAACCTTTCCTTTCCATAATTTCAGAGACTGCAAGGAAGGCTCTGGTTTCATTGATAGTCTTAGAAAAATTAAAAAGCCTCGCACTGCAAAATGTAGTATCAGTCTCTCGAGTTCATTTCCTGGAGCTATAGCCATTTATAGGAAAGAGAATGAAGGTGAAAGAGGGTGTCATTTGTGTGCTTTTAAAAATGCATATTCTGCCCAAGACACTTACAGGTGAGTAGACAAACCACATTCAAATCTCCTTACCTAGATAAAAACGGGCCAGAAATACTGCAGAAAGAGTCAGCAGAAGCTCAAAACAACAGACAAAAAGAGCTAGAGATGGCAGAAAAAAACTCCCCCAAACCAGGTCGCTAATGGTTTAAGAACCAGAGTTTGCAAAGCACTTACTTGTTTGAAGGGTAAGACCCCTGAGTGCATCTTTGCAGGATATTTTCACCTTAGTTTCCCAACTGAATCCCAAACCAAACACAAGTCTTTGCCAGTGGTTTTGGACCATGACTGCAATTAGAATCACCTGAAGCACCTTTAAATCTTGCTGTTGCTGGGATGACCCCCTAACCCCACCCACAACCCAAGTGAAACCAGAATTTCTTGGGGTCAGGCCAGGGTACCAGCGTCTTTCAAAACCCTCCTGAGTGATTTGACTGTGCTGCCAGCAGTTGAGGACCACAACTTTATAAGTATGCTTATTAAAAAAGAAGCTGATTTCCCTATCAAATACACCCAGATCTCTAATTTCACTGCTCCAGAAAATCATGATCACCACTTCCATTCGCTGCTCTCCAACACACTTCCTACTGCAGCAGCAGTCTGTGTGTGCTGCCCTCCACAGCTAGAAATGGAAGGTGGCTTGGCACAGGCCCCAGAAGGTAATAGAAAGCTGGACCCCATCTTGGTGACCCAAGTGTGTAAGCACATCATCTCAGGATATGCTGTGATGTTAAACACAAAGACAAATGCAAAATAGGGTGTGTAAAGAGCATAAAATTTTGGTTTCCTTTAGACCAGTGTTCCTTTAACTCTACTATGCATTGGAATCACCTGGAAGGCTTGTTAAAACACTACACTCCCAGAACCACTGATTCAGTCAGCTGTAGGGTCTAATTATTTCCATCTCTTACGAGTTAGCAAGTGATGCTGATGCTGCTGGTCTTAGGACCAAATTTTGAGAACCACTGCTCTAGATTAAACTTCTGGCATCTTCAGACATTTGAAATGCCAAACAAATCTGTTTTTGTTAGAATCTCTCTATATAATTATATTCCAATTATAATTGGAATAGTGAACACTAGTTGGATATTTGATATGAAGGACTTAACTACTGTTTGAGGATGTTTTTTGTTTTGGCTGGGGGCAGCTCTTGGTAATTTTGTTGTTGTTGTTGCTATTGTTCTTTGTTTTGTTTTTTGAGACAGGGTCTTGCTCTGTCGTCCAGGCTAGAGTGCAGTGGCATAATCACAACTCACTACGGCCTCAAATTCCTGAGCTCAAGTGATCCTGCCTCAGCCTACCGAGCGGCTGGAACTACAGCCATTTGCCACCATGCCTGGCTACAAAAGAAATGTAAATCTTCATATATAGATAGACAGATAGATAGATATTATATATAGAGAGATATATATATTTGTAGAGATGGGGTTCTCGCTGTGTTGCCCAGGCTGGTTCTCAAACTCCTGGGCTCAAGCGATCTTTCCACTTTGGCCTCCTAAAGTGCTGGGATTTCAGTGAGCTACCGCACCCAGCCTTAACTACTAAGTGCAAAAGTGGTACTGTAGTTATATTTAAAACAAAAATAAGGAGTTCTGGCCTGGCATGGTGGCTCACACCTGTAATCCCAAGCACTTTGGGAGGCTGAGGCTGCCAGGTCACCTGAGGTCAGGAGTTCAAGACCGGCCTGGCCAACATGGTGAAATCCTGACTCTACTAAAAATACAAAAATTAGCAGGGCATGGTGGTGTGCAACTATAATCCCAGCTACGTGGGAGGTTGAGGTTGCAGTGAGCTAAGATCGCACCACTGCGCTCCAGCCTGGGCCACAGAGCAAGACTCTGTCTTTTAAAAAAAAAAAAAAAAAAAGGCCGAGTACAGTGGCTCATGCCTATAATCCCAGCACTTTGGGAGGCCGAGGCGGGCAAATCACCTGAGCTCAGGAGTTCGAGACCAGCCTCAACACGGAAGAAACCCCGTCTCTACTAAAAATACAAAATTAGCCGGGCGTGGTGGTACATGCCTGTAATCCCAGCTACTTGGGAGGCTGAGGCAGGAGAATTGCTTGAACCCGGGAGACAGAGGTTGCGGTGAGCCGAGATCGCACCATTGCACTCCAGCCTGGGCAACAAAAGCAAAATTCCATCTCAAAAAAAAAAAAAAAAAGAAAAAGAAAACAAAAGAAATTCTTTTTTTTAAGAGATACTTATTGGGGAAAAAAAGTTTAAAACATTAGAGACAGAACTGACATTGGCCAAGTGTCCCAGTCCCCTCCTCAGAGTGTAAGCCTTATCCTGAAGTTAGGGCTTACCACTCCATGCGTGTTTTATATCATTAACAGTGTACACATATGAATACATAAAAATAATACCAAAAAAATAGAAAAATAGCATAGGTAAGGAATCAATCAATCAATCAATGCAAAAAAAGAGAAGGAGGAAAGCAGCAGTGGCTGTCAGGAAGCCTGGGGCCGCCCAGGGAAGGGCAGGCAGCAGGCTATAGCCATGAAGGGAATCAGGGTGGTCCTTTACCTGGAAATCTTCCCCATCCAGAAAGTCTCCTACGCGAACATGCTGGTTAACACATCTGCAGTCACCTGAGGGTAGTAGGAGAGAAAGGGAAACTGAGTCAAAAGTTGTAAAAGTAAACTGACGGTGGACACAGTAGGGTAAGGTTTCACTACACATTTCTGTGTATTTTGAAGGTTCCTCGTAGAAGATTTGGAAAGTTGAGTGTTTTCTACGCTTAAGACTGTCACTGCACTTGACTGTTCTAGAGCCATGCCAGGGACTCAGTGCAGAATGCTACATCCTCCTCACACCAGCAGCAACGCTGGAAGCATTCAGTGAGGCACGATTTGGGCACCAACTCTGCTACTCCTAAGGCATTGCAAGAGAGTCATTAAGCCTTTCTAGGCTTAGATTTCAGTATCTGAAAAATTTATAGGATTCTCCAGAGTGACTCCCAAAATTAATGGAACATTACCACCCTTGGAAAATTACTAGTCCTTGGATGTAATGAGAAGAAAAGAAAATGAGCTAACATAAATATATAAGCTAGATTCTATTTATTTTATTTCATTTTATTTTTTAGACGGAAGTTTCGTTCTTGTTGCCCAGGCTAGAGCACAATGGCGCAATCTCAGCTCACTGCAACCTCCACCTCCCAGGTTCAGGCGACTCTCCTGCCTCATCCTCCTGAGTGGCTGGGATTACAGGCATGTGCCACCACGCCAGGCTAATTTGTATTTTCAATAGAGACGGGGTTTCTCCATGTTGGTCAGGGTGGTCTCGAACTCCCGACCTCAGGTGATCCACCCACCTCTGCCTCCCAAAGTATTGGGATTACAGGCTTGAGCCACTGTGCCCAGCCCTAGATATTTATTTTATATAGTTTACTTCATTTAACCTTTGAAACGATTTTGTAAAGCTAGTATCAATAGCAACAGAAGACTACAAAGAGACTGGGGCCGAGTGTGCGCAGTAACTTGCCTAAGGTCACAGAGCCAGCAGCAGCAGAGCCACCGTTCAAAATCTGGACCTGGTTGACCCCCAGGAGGTTTCTCCCACTATACCATGGGCCCTCTACTGAGTGCCATCCTGTTGCTGGTAGAGTCACACCAAAACCACAGTAAACTTTAACTCCAAGACTTAAAAACAAGTGCAAGATTCTATCATACATCAAGTTTGTTTTCTGTGCCCAGGCTTATCTTTTAAAGAAATCTGGCATTTTGTGGACATGTATTTGATGATAAAATAATTGCCCAGAAGAATACCCAACAAAATTAGCTTATAATATTTCCTTTTACTTAAAAATTTATCTTGCTTTCTCTGATACTCCTCTTAAACACACACACACACACACACATATTTTTTATAGCAAGGGGTTATGTCTTTATTTTTGAGACAGGGTCTCACCCTGTCACCCAGGCTGGAGGGCAGTGGCATGTTCATGGGTCACTGCAGCCTGGACCTCAGCGGGTTATGCCTTGACACAAGAAGGAAGCTTCCAAGATTTGCTCTTCTTTAACATTTTTAGAGGCTACATCCAAAAGCACCCGATTCCAAAAGCAAGTGTCTTGGCAAGTCAGGACAGAGTTGACTATTTCACATAGAGTGGCTACTTTTTAAAGGAGAAATGTAATTGTCTAGAGGTTAGAAATATACTACATTCCTATTCGGCCAAGGCGATGAAGCAGCTTCAGTAGGTGAAGACATTGCATGAAGCAACTGTCTGGCTCTCTGGGTCTCAAGGTCATTTTTCTCTCCATATACGGATTCGTCTAATTGGCGAAACACATTTGTCCAGTGGATCAGGTAGCAAGACAACCTATTAGATAGATCAGTGGTCTGATCTAGGACACAGCTGCTGAGCTCCCTCCAGGCTTAAAATAATTCAGCATTATCAACCCATCCCCCCATTGAGTACAATTAATTTTATGAAATGGAGAAAATAAGCATGGGTAAATAAAATGGCTGACACACACCATGCACAGCAGAAAATGGCAACTGTGCTCTGTGTACCACTTCCCACTGACCTCGAGGTGCTAATGAGGGAGTTCTGCAAAGCCTGCATTAAAAAGCCTCCTACACTTAGCCAGCCCTAACCCCACTCCAAACTTCTCTCCCACACCACAGCAGGAGGGCCTTGCTAATTGGAATCTGCAGAACACGTGGCCTGAAATTTGTTGTGGCAGCACACACCTCCAGTGCATCCTGAACCACACACAAACACACAACACTCAGATTTCTTAGTGTTTTTTTTTTTTAAAAATCTAAATGTGACAATACATATAATATTTAAAATTAAAGTACATGTTTGTGGGATCGTGCCAAAAATAAAGCCAGGTGGAGGTGGTTTTTGTAAGCATACACCTCCCCGTAAGACTGGTGGTAATGACGAGAGATGGTAACAACAAAGATGCCTGGTGAAAAGAGACCCTCTAATCGCATTAGCTGGTAGTTGTAAGGGAAGATGGTTGCTCTGAATTTCCCTTTATACACAGCAACTTCAAAAAAAATCCCTATTTTCTTAGAACATCTTTATGTAGAAAAGCCTGCGTGTCTTTGAAGCCTCAACACAAAACAAACAAGAGTCTTTACAAGTCCTGTCTGACCACCCAGGGAGAATCAAATAGTATTTTTTTTCTCCAGTAGGCCACCCCAGGATACCACAAATAAAAATGAAAAGGAAGAATTCATCATGTAACCGGGGTGTATTTTGCTAGTGTAGTCATTACACTCTTTTAATCTAAATATTATGGTATATTTTTCACTGGCAAAGCCCAAGATCTAATTATTCATTTATTGAACAGAAAACATTCTGAAATAGCAGAAATTAGGTTAAAATCTAGAAAAGAGCAGAAAGGGGAAGGTGAAGGAGTTTTTTTTCTCAGAATCCCAAGAATCGAGCAGGGTTTTTTTTAAGGTGCTGATGTTCAGAATGGTAGGATGGGAAGCCGGGGCCCTGAGTTCCTTAACACAGAAACCTGGAGATGAAAATGCTCAAGGGCTCGGGCTGCAGGAGACATCTGGGCAGGGGAGTTTCCTCAGCATCACATGGAAGAGCTTAGGAGCATGAAAGGATGTTGGAATCATAAGAAGGTCTTAGAGTCATAAACATCCTGAAATGTACTCCTCTGATCATGTCTCCACTCTGCATAAAATGTCCATTTGGGCCAAATAAAGACCAGACCCTGTGGCCAGACAATAAAATGCCTCCTGGAATCCTAAGCTGTCATCCCAGGCTCGGTTTCCACTGCTGCCATTAAGGGACACTGTGCTCCAGCGCCACTGAAGTCCGTGCTGTTTCTCAGGTACACAAGGCACTTCCACCTCGTTGTGCCAGGGCACTGATGGTCTTCTTTGCCTGAAATATCCTGGGTCAAGTGCAGTGGCTCACACCTGTAATCCCAGCACTTTGGGAGGCAAGGCAGGAGGATCGCTTGAGCTCAGAAGTTTGAGACCAGCCTGGACAACATGGCAAAACTCCATCTCCACAAAAAATACAAAAACTAGCTGGGCGTGGTGGTGCACACCTGTGATCCCTGGTACTCAGGAGGCTGAGGTGGGAGGATCGCTTGAGTTCAGGAGGTGGAGGTTACAGTGAGCTGAGATCGCGGCACTGCACTCCAGCCTGGGGGACAGAGCAAGACCCTGTCTCAAAAAAAAGAAGGGAGGGGAGGGGAGGGAAGAATCCTGCAGTCCCCATTTCTCTACTGACTCGATTTTTTAAGACAAAAGGATGAAAGGGGCTTGACGGACATCCTCTTGATCACAACTCTGCCACAATACAGCTGGGTGGCTTTGGGCCAGTTACTTAATCTCCTTTCCTGCCTCAGTTTTCAGTTTCTTCATTCGCTAAATGGGGGATAGTAAAGTGAATAACATCCACTACTGTGAACATTAAATGAAATGAGGATGCTAATCAACTGAAGACGTTAGTAAATGTCAGTCTGCTCTACTCAAACATATATGCCACCTTCCTTCGGAAGCCTTCCTTAACATCTGCAGCCAAATTTCTTGAATTTATTGAAATTCCCATCACACACATGAACCGCAGCTGTGTTTGGTACTTGGTCATTCTCTACTCACATTTTTGCCATGTTTCTACATCAGCACACCTACCAGACTGTGTGCTTTTGGAAGGCAGAACCTATGTTCAATTCATGTTTGTATTCTTTCCAATTGTCTTGTACAAACTAATCAAATGGTAAGCATCTTAGGATTCTAGAATTAACAGGCCCTTTCAATAACCTAGACAAAACTCACCATTCTGTAGATAAAGAAAACTGAGTCCAAGTGGGATGAAGAAAATCATCACACTACTAGTAAGTAATAGAAATGAGTGGACGGCACCGGGCATGGTGGCTCACGCCTGTAATCCCAGCACTTTAGGAAGCAGAGGAGGGTGGATCACAAGGTCAGGAGATCGAGACCATCCTGGCAAACCTGTGACGGTGAAACCCTGTCACTACTAAAAATACAAAAAAATTAGCCGGGCATGGTGGCAGGCACCTGTAGTCCCAGCTACTCGGGAGGCTGAGACAGGAGAATGGCATGAACCCGGGAGGTGGAGCTTGCAGTGAGCCGAGATTGCACCACTGCACTCCAGCCTGGGCAACAGAGGAAGACTCTGTCTCAAAAAAAAAAAAAGAAAAAAAAAGAAATTAGTGGACGGATTGATGGGTGGAGAGATGGATGGATGGATGGATGGATGGATGGATGGATGGATGGATGGATGGATGAATGGATAGATGGATTCACAGATGCATGGTTGGATGGATGAACAACAGCAACAAAAAAAAGGAACAGACCAACCAGCAGTCAGTTACAACATCTGAAACTTAACAGCAATTCAAACCCTAGGGGATAGTGTACTGACCCACCATATAACGGCCACCTTACTACGCATGCTTTCTTCATCTACTAAAAATCTTCAATGCCATTTTTTTAAAAATTCCTTATAAAATTCAGATCCAGAAAATCTACCATGCAAAAGGATTTCAACCTCCTCAGTGCCAGGATCTCTTCATTACTTTAAAATATAATTTATTCAAAACTTCGAAATAGCAGCTCACCTTCACCCTAGGTAGCTTATTCGTGCCACAGGTGTTACTGAATGGCAATATCATGTGCCAATCACATATTTATCCCCCCTCCTCGCCCCCCAGGAAGCCCACAGACGGACCATTCCTATGAAGAGCTCCCGGCTCAATGTCATCTCTTGCTCTTCTCCTCCAGTCTGCCACCTCCATCTGTCCCTACATTTACTCAGTAAAGTGCAGTACCAGCATGATAAATCCCATCACAGAGATAATGAGAGA